TTAAGTTTTTGTTAAAATGAACGAAATTTAAAGAGTATTTTATAATGTCTAATAGAGCTGAACATTATTTTTATGTTTAGATGCATTTAAACTGATCAAATTTTATTTCAGAGAACAATAAAATTAAATTTTGTTTGATTAAAACTCTGCTAATATGGAAATACCCAAGAATCATTTGAGGCACATAATGCTTTATGAGTTCAAGAAAGGAAACTCAGCAGCCGAAGCGGCTAGAAACATTCACTCAGTTTATGGAGAGGAATGCGTGAATGAAAAAATTTGCAGAAGATGGTTTGCAAAATTCAGAGGTGGAGATTTCACCCTTGAAGATGAAGATCGAACCAGACATCCAGTTGAGTTTGATGAAAAGCTTCTTGAAGCAGACCTTGAAGAAAATCCTGCTTTATCAGTTGAAGAATTGGCAGTGGTTCTCAGTTCAAATCATACAACTGTTCATCGTCATCTTCAACTTGGAAAAGTTCCTAAACATGGAAAATGGGTGCCTCATGAATTGTCTGAAAACAACCTCAAATCCCGAGTTGACATCTGCTCTTCTCTCCATTCTCGCCAACTTGTTTCACCTTTTTTGGATAGACTTGTGACTGGCGACTAAAAATGGATCTTTTATCGAAATGTTAAGCGTCGTAGACAGTGGCTTGGTAAAGGGGAACTTCATGGGCAAAATGTTCTTCTTTCAATCTGGTGGGATCGCCATGGAATAATCCACTTTGAATTCTTACCACCTAATGCAACATTTAATGTTCAAATATACTGTCAGCAATTAGAGCGTTTGAACCAAGCTTTGAGGAAAAAAAGACCTGCTCTAGTGAATCGAAAAGAAGTGATGTTTCATCAGGACAATGCGCGACCCCACACAGCAAGAATCACGTCACAAAAGATCGAAGAACTTGGTTGGGAGAAAATTCTTCATCCAACCTTATTCTCCTGATCTTGCTCCTTCAGACTACCATTTGTTTTGTAGCTTACAGAATCATTTGGAAGAAACAGCTTTTGTAACACAGGAAGAGGTTAAAACTGACATTTGTGAGTTCTTCGAATCAAAACCAAAAGAATTTTACAGTAATGGAATTAGTAAGCTTGTTAATAGATGGAAGGAAGTCATAGATAATCAGGGAAAATACATTGTTGATTGAATCTGTAATTAAATGTAACATTTGATCTCTTGTTTTCTTTATTCAAAATTCGGACAGAACTTATGGGATGACATGATACCATCCCTCCCATCCGTTTTCCGGTATTCATTCATTCAGGTTTATCGGAATTCTCTTGTCCCTTTTTCCTTTGATATGCCCTATGTGTCCAATAGAAAGGTAATTACTAATACATATGGTCTCAACCCCGTCGCTGTATACAGCCACGAACTATCTTAATGTAGGAAAGATAATCTTATAGTTAAAATGAATACAATTATTTGGGTCTGATTATAGTATACTGCTCAAAAAGGCTTATCTGTGTGAAATTTTAGTCACAACTCCATCCTTAATTATTTTTATATTAATCCCTTGATTAAAAATAAGAAGCGATTTACAGTAGTGGAATGATAAGTAAAGCTGGTCTTTCAGAATATTCGTAACGTAGTGTTTGCTATTCTAAATAGGCGCCTCAAATGTTTCGTCTTAAGTCAGTCTAAACTTAATAAATGCAATTAAGGAGAAAAAAATCGATGTGGTAATCAGCCTATTCTACGCCTCTCGGCTTATATTTGAACGCAGAGTGAAGACTTTATCTCCATAATAACATTTGTTATCGGATTTTCGAAGACCTAAGACTATTTCTCATTCGTTTGCTATTTCCTTTAGCGACACTCTTGTCCAGTTTCGTTTACCTTTTTTTTTCAACGATTGTCTTCTCGACACACTAATCCAATCCAGACTAAAACTTATTTTACCGACATTTATTTCGCTTTTAACGAGCAGATTGACAATGTTTACAGACACAATTACAAAATCGTTTCGGTTTTTCGTATTCCTTTCCCAGTAATATTTGATTTCAGTATCTCTCGAAGGAGAAATTGGGACCGCAATATATAATAAAATAACGTCGCAAGTCAAGAGTTTAGTGTTTTTCTTAAAATACGATCCCTTTAGAATGTCAGTGATTTTAGAGTAGCATCGAAAGTGTAAGTATTTACAAGGAACAACACAACTAGAATGTAATCTAAAACTGTATGTCTGACTTATGAAGGCGATGACAAAGCAAAACGTTTGTCTGTAAAATTTTGCTGAATCAGAATAAATGCAAACAGACGCCACTTACGTTTCCTAAAGTTGGAAATATTAAGGCTAAAACTTATTTCTGTGATATCCGCAAACTTACAATAAAAGATTCTACATATTCATTGGATGCTAAGATTACTCAAGTAAAAAAAAGAAAAGAATCCTTGACTTATCAAAATTTTGACATCTTTTTGGAGCTATCAGAAATAGATTAAAATCCTTAAAGTATAATTACATATACGTTCTCATTTTTACATACGATCCACTTTTTCCGATTTGCTATAATTATGTTCCTGTGTTTTCAGACAGTGGATAACATTATGCTTATATTATTTCAAATAATCATGTAAAAGAAGAGAACGAAGAATTCGTTTTAGCGTTATGGTTAACGATGTTGCCTACTGAGTAGGGAGTTCAAACCTTACTGGATATCCTACACTTGTGTTTGGGTGAAAAAACAAAAAACAAAAACTACACTCATTTAATAAATATTGCTTCTCTTTTTAATAATTCGAAAGTTCCTCAGTTTAACATCCTAGATGCAAGGCTAAACAACAGAGAATATATGTAGGGAGATTGTATTGCGCCAATTTTAGAAATCTAGGAATCTAGGCTAACCTAGAAAATCAGTATTCGAAATTCGACTTTTTACCTAGGATCGAACAGTGATTACTCTTGTTTAGGAGAAACACCAATCTATTTCAGTCACGAGCCAGACCACCAATTTTACATATTATCTGCTGATGCTTTTTAAGCTTAGTTTAGTATAAAATGAAGCCCAATAATGGTGCAAGAAGATTGTATTACGCCATCGTCTCAAGTGGAAAGAGATTGTCTACCTAGAAAAATATTATTACAGAAATCTTACGACGACTCACCAATCTTTGCCATCAGCCAGAAATACTTAATAATTTTCATTACTAGGGAGGCCATAAATATTTAGTCAGCTTGATTCTGTTTGTAACAAGATATCAACTGTTGGGTATCCAGGTTAAGTGTGATTTCATTTCCAATCAGTCTTTCACACAAGTAAATTAAATCAAATGACCGTAGTCATCTAGTTGAGATTCTGGATAAAATCAAAGAATTTGCTATATTATCGGCCTCAATCTGTCATCTCGATTTTAATCACTTTCCCGCTGTCGTAAAGTAGATCCCTGTAATTGTTAAAATACATACGACGTTGTTGTTGTTGTTCAAATTTTCCAATCCCTCTTTCCTCAATATATGCTCTAGAAGTTTCAAATGCCTCTTTCTGATGCTAAGTATAAGGGTCTTTTTTGTAGGCATTTTCGTTATTTATCCCGCTATCAAAAGAATGTGCAGTGTAAGTATTAATATCTAATCATGAAAGCTCATGAATGTTTCCAATTATCGTTTACATCAATATCTACTACATACAAACACAATCAGACACATACATATGGAAATGACGATTTTATATATATGTGTTTGTTTGTGTGTATAGATAGATAGATAGATAGATAAATAGATAGATAGATAGAAAATTAAAAGATTGAGATAGATAGATAGATAGATAGATAGATAATGAAAAACTGCGATAGATAGATAGATAGACAGGCAGACAGATAATTAAAAAATTGTGATAGATGGATAATTTGAAGACTGTGATAGATAGATAGATAGATAGATAGATAGATAGATAGATAGACAGACATATAATTAAGATTTATAATTAAAAGATTGTGATAGATAATAAACTGTAATAGGTAGAAAAATAATAAAAAAGAGTGTGATAGATAATTAAAAGACTGTGATATATATATATATATATATATATATATATATATATACAGATAGATAGATAGATAGATAGATAGAGAGGAGACAGAGAGATAGATAGTTAAAAGATTGATATAGATAGATAATAAAAAAGACTGTGATAGATAAATACATAGATTGATAGACATATATACAATTACAAGGTTGAGATAGATAATTAAAAGACTGTGATATATATATATATATATATATATATATATATATATATATATATATATATATATAGAGAGAGAGAGAGAGAGAGAGAGACAGACAGACAGACAGACAGACAGATACATAGATAATTAAAAGCCTGCGATAGATAATTTAAAGACTGTGGTAGATAATTAATAAACTCTAATAGACAGATAGATAAATAAAATCTGTGATAATTAAAAGACTGTGATAGATAGATAGATAGATAGATAGATAATAGACTGTGATATATATATATAGATAAAATATTGGGATAGGTAGATAATGAAAATACTGTGAGAGATAAATAGACAGATAATTAAAAGATTGGGATAGATAGGTAATTAAAAGACTGATAGATAGATAGATAGATAGATAGATAGATAGATATTAGGAAAAATCAGCTTGAATGAACAGAAGTAGGTAGCAAGAATAATAAAACATAGTCATCGATTTATAACGTTTCTTCTATTTTTTGGTCTACTCAAAGATTACGTTCTTTTCCTTATTGAAGTTGGAATTAATGTTAAGTAGGAGATATAAAAAGATTCATCCCGTTTTTATTTGAAGGTCTACCGAGAGTAACTTTGAAAAATATTATTTCGAAAGAAAGAAAAATAAAAGGAAGCCCGTATACCATTGTCATTAAAAAGCAGTTTTCATAGAATATTATGACGAATTGAGAACGTGATAGACTCAGATATCGACTTCAAACGCGCTATCTGCCAAATCCGAAAAAAAAGAAGCAAAAATGAAGACTCTTCTTGATAGAATTAAAAGAAGCATACACAAAAGGAAGAAGAGAGATTAGTTTTACTTTGTTCCTGATTTTTTTGTTCGCTTTTTCTAATTTGACGTCCTTATCTGTTTTGCTCAATATCAGATTTTCTCTCTCTATCTTTATCCCTCTCTCTCTTTCACTAACTCTATCTTTCCAACTAATTCTCTGGCTGTACTGAGAAATAATAGCCACGTCTCTTATTTCGTGCTGAGATATGAACAAGCCGTGTCATTAACATAAAAGTATATAACTTTTTCTTCCCAGAATTGGATGTGATAACTATCATCCATGCATCTATTCGATCTGTCTGTCTGTCTGTCTATCTATCTATCTATCTATCTATCTATCTATCTATATATATATATATATATATATATATATATAAAAGAAAGAACAGTAAGATATATAATCCGGTGTTCTTATAGATATTTTTATTTTTACAAAATAGTGCTCAATGTAAATTTACAGAGTATTAATATTATAAATTAATTGATTTAAAATATGTTTTTTTTCGCTACACAGTTCTAACCATGTTTCAAAAATGGAAGCTAAAAGTTACTCCAAAATTCGCTTGAGGAGGAAATGAAACTAATGTCTTTAATTTAATTACAAAATTAAATTCGGGGCTTTTAGCTTCCATTTTTTGAAACATGGTTAGAACTGTGTAGCGAAAAAACATATTTTAAATCAATTAATTTATAATATATATATATATATATATATATATATATATATATATATATATATATATATATATATATATAATAAAAACAAAGGAAAAAGTTATCTTAGCCAACAAGTTTCGTCCTCTGACTTTGTCAAGGAAAATGTAAGGATTTTATTTTGCAGCAAAGATTTATAAACCAATGTAAAAATGTTAGTTTAGCAAAATTTTTAAATTTAAGAGACTCTCATGAATATTCATCTGACTAAAAACGTCTAGGTAAATAAATGACGTAATTTTCATGTCTTACACGCGAAAGTGAGTAAATGATTATTTACACTATTTACGTTCTTCGAACTATTGTCCACATCGTTTTTCCATATTCACGACGTTTCGATCGCTTCTTCAAGCGATTGGTATTTTGAACTGAATTATTTACTTCCTCCACCGGGACAGATTGTTCACGTTCCACGTGCCATATCTCTTCCGGATGTCTCAGTTATCTCCCTTTAACTCAACTCTCCAAGTATTTGTTCACCACTGCAGTAGCTAGGTATTGAACTCACAAATCTGGGGTCAGCTCACTGGATCTAAACCAACGCGTTTATCCACTGGGCCATGTTTCTTTGCGAATACACATAAGTGCATTAATTTTTGGGACGTATAAACATAATGACTTTTTTTTACCAAAACAATTTTTGTTGCTATTCATTGTTTTTCTCAAGTATTCCGTATTACTGGTTCCCATATTGTATTCATTTCTATACTTGGTCGGCTCAGGAGATTTTTGTAGCCTAACATATGTGCTGATTCTTTAATTCTTCATATTTCCCAGTGATATTCTGTCGATTATTTCAATCTCAATCCACAGTGGGGCGGTGATCTCCTTTTTCTTTTCATATGTAGTCAGCTCTGCCTGATTTTCCTACTTCCCTTCGTGTTACGGCTTTATACTTGTAGTATATTGCTACTGGTCTCAGATAAGTAGACAAACACTTATATATACACATATATAAATATCTTTATTGTTCGAGTTGCAGTGAATTGGTAGAATGAAGGAGAATCAAAGAGTTTTGGATTGCGTACACGGAGACAAATGAACCACGAGCCAGCCTCTTTGTCTAGATATATATATATATTAATATTATACCAAGATATTGGTAAAGTGTCAACGAACAACCCCCAAAAAACTTAGCCTGGCAAACATAAAGACAAAAGAAAGCGAAAAAAGAAAGAAACAATACGAAATAAAACGCAAAAAGATAACGTCTGATTTCTCCCCAAAACAGAAACCTACCTACACAAAAAAAAATTAAATGCTTGACGGCTCTAGAAATTAAACTAAGACAAAGTAGTGACAGTAATAAGCCAAATGGCACTGAGGGACTCCTGCGCAACTCTTAACTATGCGATCTTAAGACTAAAAGAAGCGGTTCTTGTTGTCGCATAGCTTGAGTTAATGAGTGCTTTTTGGTTTGACAACAGAAGAAAGATGAACAGGAAGGCCTAAAGGTGAAGGTGGGGATTAAAATTTAACAGAGAGAAGTTTTAAAACGTCGTGAATATGGAAAAACGACGTTGACAATAGTCCGAAGTATTAAATAATGTAAATAATCATTAAACACTTTCGCTTATAAGACATGAAAACTTCTCTCTATTAAATTTTAATCCCCACATTCACCTTTAGGCCTTCCTGTTCATCTTTCTTCTGTTACACCCTCTCTCTACAGCTTTCATACATTTCCCTCTCACACTTGTGTCCCACACCAACACATACACTCTCACTAAAATTTTATTTTTTATACCCGGAATTATATTTTCCGATTTCTTTTTTGAATTTGTAGGTATGATGAATTGGATCGTAATTACGATTCCAGTGTAATAAATTATAATCAATAATCATGGAATATTAGTGTTTATATATATTTATATATATATATATATATATATATATATATATATATATATATATATATATATATATATGAACGTTATTTTTACTGGGTATATATGTTTAAAAAGGCAATCCTATTTTCAAACAGTGAAATTAATATCTACTTAATCACTATTAATTTAACTTCTATTCAAATATGTGCAACCACTAATTATAATATCTATAATAACAAGAAATAATGTCGAATTAAAAATCTATTAATTACTTAAGTTCATATATATATATATATATATATATATATATATGTGTGTGTGTGTGTGTGTGTGTGTGTGTGTGTGTGTGTATCTAATTATGTCTGGGTGGTTATGTATTATAATCTGATTGTGTTTTTGTTGTTTTTACGCGTGAGTTTAAGACCACATTCACAAACTTTAAAATAAAAACGGAAAAGAAAGGGAAAAAGAAAAAAATATATATACATGTATTGTCAAATGACCGGATGTATTGTAGCGTCTTGTCTTGTCGAACGTAATTTCAATGAAGAAATGAATTGAATAAACATATATATTTTTTTTTCTCAATAATTTTGTAGTTTTAAACTTAATAATGATTAAATATGGATTTTAAAATTGCCAGTTTTTAATTTTAATATTAAATTTTATCATATAATTTTATAATTATTAGTTAGTATAAATTATTTTTAATATTACACGTATTTAAAGATCTGAATAGCTATTATAGCAAGATTTCGTTGTCAAGCTTTTGAATCTTTCTATACTTCGTTTTTGATTGGTTATTCTAGCTTTTGTAACAATGTTTCTCCCTAGTGTAGGATCGTTAATTAATCTGAAACTTTTAAAACCATTTATTTTCTTTTCAACATCATCACTTGATAAGACACAGATTGTGTTGAAACAAAATGGCTATTTTTGTAGTGATTTTATAACATACTTATTTTATAATTTTTTATAAAAAATAATTATATATATATATATATATATATATATATATATATATATATATGTGTGTGTGGAGATATATATTATACTAATAGTAATAATCGGTTGGAGACAACTTCGGATAGCACATCTTGTAAGTATATCAAAACAAATTGGTACCAGAGGAAAAAGTTGGAAAAAAAGAAAGAACTAGTAATATCCGAACAGGGCGAAACAAATCGTCCAGTGTCTTAAGTTTTTAGTCCAAAAAGAAAAACTCAAGCGAGTAATAAAGCTAAAACGTAGATCTGGGATAAATAAATATAAAATATATAAGTAGAGTAAAGTAAAAATATATATATACGAACACACGTATATGACTTAAAGTCGAAATCTTGGAGAATATTTCTCGTAATTTTCGTCCAAAATGAACTTCAAGCAATCTTTGACGGAATTTTTTTCTTGTCTGAGAAAGGTTATTCTTAATTCGGAAAAGTCGATCATTGAAATTAATCGACACAAATTATCTGTCGTCTTTAATAATATTTGCCTTAAAGAAGCGTTTCTATTTAAATTCATAATATATATATATATATATATATATATATATATATATATATATATATATATGTGTGTGTGTGTGTGTGTGTGTGTGTGTGTGTCTGTGTGCAAGAAAATCCGCAACTACACTTGCATATTGAGAGACACAAAATTAGGATCTAGTTTAGCGTTATATTTGCACATCAAATCGAGCACCAGCTTTCATGAAGACGGCGACCGGGTAAGGGTCAACTATTGCATAAAACGTACTTGGTAAATCACACCGCTATCACTTCAGTAGCTTTCACGTTAAAATTTAATTCTTCCCCAAAATTCTCAAAAATTCAAAATAATTTTCAATGAAAAAACAATAAAATGTGAACAAGACTAAACAATAATTAATAATAAAAATTTTTCATCTCAAAATTCAAAAAGCTTAAGTGGAATTCATTGTAAGATATTTGCTTTCTTAATTTTAAAAATGAAAAAAAATCTCTAGTTGATTACAGCGAAGATAATTTATATTAAGGTTTCCATTTAAATTCAATTTGCTTCAATAAATCATCGTGTGTGCCTCCGGAAAGATATTTTATATAGCGATATATGTGTGTATATGTGCAAGCGTGTGTGTTTTCTTGTCATGCAACTCACCTTTTCCTAGTAACCTTTTAATAAAAATGACTTTCTTTGAAAGTAGTAACTTTCCATTGCTTACTCATTTTTGATTGGAAAGAACCCAATTTAAAATTGTTTCTTCTTTGTAAAACGGTTTCTACAAATTCAATCTCTTATCGATTTTGAAATCACCTAAGGCCGCTTATGCGTCTAGAATGCGGTGTATTTTCCTCCTGTCAGTATTAGAGCCAAAGTAAGACTAGGATTTGTTGAGGCTATTTATTCTATTTTATTTTTAATTCTGTGACTTAACTAAGTCTCAGAAATGTGCGGTTGAACGTCACAGCGTGTTAA